TTTCACCCATGTCGAACACTGATATACACTTCTTATTTTCTATATTCATCTTAACTTTACAGCATATTTTGAAAATATTATTGAACATTTTTCAATGAGTTTTTATTTCAAAAGTTTTTTTTAAATAGACTTCAGATAAACAGATGTATGCCAACGAAAAAAAAAAAGAATAATATCTAACAAAACAAGAGATAACAAAAATAATACTGTTCATTGTTAATGTTCCGATGGTATTACTACTTCTGATGATGAAAAATCTTGTGAAGTAAACCAATCGGGTAAAAACTGATATGCCGATTCAGTTGTAGTACGCCATTTAATTTTTTTCTCTTGTGGAGAAAAATAGAAAAGATAGACCGTTCTTAAAAGAAAAACAAAAAAAAAACTCAATTAAACAATCATTATAACTTATAATTATCAAATACTGACTTTCCATCTTCGAAATAATCTTTTGTAATTGTCTTACGAACAAATGCACAAAATTCATTGAGAAATGATAAAAATGAACTTGAACTCCATGTACGCTACAAAGAAAATATTTGTATTTAAGACATTTTATATATATCTATAAATAAAATTTTTACAGCACGTGTTTCAATATCTTTGATAAGTAATGGTTGAATTTGACGAACAATTCCATAATCATCACGAAAACCTAATAGAATCTGTTCAATACCAGTCAGAAAACATTGTGACCACCATTTTCCATATTTTCGAGCACTAAATATAATCGAATAAATATTCTCATATTATATATTTCATTATTTCTTACGTTGTTGTATGTAATTCAAGCATATTTTGTGCATAAACAACTTTAATTTCAACATATGTTCGTTTTTTCTTATGCGTTTTGTTTGAATCAATATCATTATTAAGATTTGTTATTGTTTTTGAATTATTATTATTATCATCATTAAGAATTGAATCTGGTGTACATGCATCAATTTCACTACCATATACAAGTGTATGTACACCTAATGTAGCCAAATTGACGAGTGAAAAAAGTTTTTTCGGCGATGGAAATAATGGAGGTGTTTCTAAGAAAACAAAAAAAAAGCAAATTCAAATATAAATCATTTATTTATTCTTCGATGATTTTAAGGTATAGTAAATTATTGATTGTTATCAATCTTAAAAGAGATAAACTTTTACTCAAACTAGTTAGGTTTTTATGCAAGTGAAACTAGCTGACTTACGAGGGAAACAATCGAGTTGACACTCACTGTTTAACTTCATATTGAACTTACAAGAATGCCTTAGTGAGATTAGCAAAAATATATAAAAGTTTTGTCTCCATAGATCTTTGCAGTTCACTTAGGATCATTTTACTTAATTTTCGACAGAGCTTTAAGTATATACCGAAAAATCAAAAAATGGAATTTTGACGTAAAATTTTGCCCACCAGATAGGTCTAATGATCTATAGTATATCCTGAAAGTTTCAGTCGGAAAGAATTTTTGTTTTTCTTCGTCGAGATATTGAATTTCCAAATAAACTCGATTTTTGTATCATGCATACCTGTGGCAAATGATTATTTTTTGGACACTCGATATTTCAATAAAAGAATAGTCTTTTTGGTTGAAACTTTGAGTATATTCCACGGGTCATAGGATCTTATGTATGAGCAAAATTTCACGTCGAAATTCTGTTTTGTTTTATTTTTCGGTATGTGCCTAAAACTGGGTCAAAAATTCAGTACAATGATCCTCAATAGGCTCCAAAGACCCATGGGAACGAACTATTTTAGGCTTTTCCTAGTCTTATCGAAACCTCCTTGTGAGCCCAATAAAAGTTCAAACAGTGAGTGTCAATTCGAGTGGTTTCCTTGCTTAAAACAAGATAACTCTGAAAACCCTTTAAAACTGATAATAATAATCATTGAGATTCATTTCTTAGGTATAAAAAGTATTACTTCAATAGATGAAAACGTTTATCATTGAAGAATTTAAAGAAATTCTATGAATAGAAGTATATCAATTAAGAAAAGTTAATCATTCTCCTCAATTCTGTCTCTGGTTTTTTTTTGTCCATAGATTCTTGACGATCAATTACTTGTTTTATTATATAAAATATTCTTATGTACAATTGTTAATCTTTTCAACGTATGATCATGTTATCACTTGTATGAACAAAAAAACAAACATATCAAAAATATACGAATAACAAAGATAACAGAACCAAACTTCGTTATAAACTTCATCGAACTTACTTTTTACTACATATGCTTTAATACAATCCTATCGTCAATTATATTTTTTGTGTTTCCTGAAAAAAGTGTACCCGTGATTTAATAAATCTAGAAGTTTGTGTTTTAAGTTGTTTTTTTAAAAGAAAAATTTCTTTAAAAGAAATTCTTATATTAATATTTATATAACATACCTGAACAGAGATAATCTTCGAATTTATGTCCCCAATAACACATTCGTTTTTCAATAGGGGTTTGACCAAATTCAATATTTAATTCTGTTTCTGTATGAAATACATGAAAAAAATAAGCACCACGATAACGAATGACACCAATACGCCAATCAGTATCATAATTAAATAATGATGACATAATTTTTCTTATTGTTCCACGCCATGCAACAAAATCAAATGTAAATCTTTAAACAACAGGAAAAAAAAAACAAAAATTAATTTACGGGTTTTTTTAAAGTTATAAATAAATACCATACCGTCCTTTTTTATCTAATAAACTTGTTTTATGTCTACTAATCCACCAAAGTATAGAATCAAGTGATGTTGATGGTTCAGCTGGATTTAAATAAGCTGAACCAATATTAAGATCAAATTCAATTTTCATTTGTTTTAATTGTCTTATATCATTAATATCATAAATAAGTTGTTTTAAATAACGAAAATCTTCTCGACAACGATTTGCATCTGAACGATCAGCTGTTGAAAAATAGCCAATATCTTTTAAATAAAATGAAATATTTCGTCCATGATATTTTGACCAATGTAATATAGATAAACTTGTTGGAGATATATAATCAGATGGAAATTGTTCACATGGAATAAATATAGGTTTATTATGTTCCATATTAGGTGGTAATGGAAGTTTTATATCAATAGAAACTATTTCAGGAATATGATGATGTTTTTTTTTCTTAGTTTTATCTTTAATAATCGATAATGATGGTGGACATGGTGATTCCATATTTGATTGTAATGTAAATGCAACTTGTCGAGATAATTTACCTCGACCTGTACCATCAAGAAAAGTATCTTTATTAAAATAAGTTAATGATGATGACATGATGATTGATCAGTGCGGATAGATCGACTCTACTATAAATGGGAAAATGATTTAACTATTTAAATCAAATTCATACATATATATGTATGTATGTATGTAGCGGAATAAACTCGTGACATATTTGAAGAAAGAAATAATGATAGAAAAGAAAAAAAAACAAAATTATTTATGACTCATACATACTTCATGTAATATATATGTCGGAGTTGGCTTTAAAGTTCAGTTGTCTTTAAAAGATAACTAATTGTCTACTGTTCAATTGAAAAGCCAACCAGGGTCTGATCTCGTTTCATCGAAAAATTAGGATTAACTAATCCATTTTTCTGCTTCATCGATACTTTTTATTCGATAGTATTTTATCAAGAAAAACAAAAACTTTGTATTGAAGAAAGTAATTGTAATAATAGAAATAAGAATATAATTTAACAGTTCATAAGATAGTGGCAAGAAAATATTGATGTAATTTTTTACTAATTGTTTTACTAATCTTATTAAAATATGCATCTAATGACAAACAATGTTTTTCATGTCGTTACATTAAATCAAGAATTTGTTGATTTTGAAAAACAAATTTTTTTATTTCTTGAAGGCTTGTTTATACTATTGTCATTACGTTAAACGCATAATCTTTCTTTAATTCATTAAATAACTGCATATAAGTTTGGATTGGAGGTGGCAATATTATCATTAATTCGATGGTGCCAGCCTTTCGATTTGGGTATGCGCGGGTGCAGATATGAAACTAGAGAAGGACAATACCTACACCCATACTCTTCTGACTTTTCTACTGATCGTATAACGTTCGGATAGTGTCATTATTGTTTTTGTTCAGCAAAAGTTTGAAATTATTTCAGAAAAAAAACTTGTGTCAATGAAACAGGAAGATGCCCTCAACTGGTTGTTTTTAAGCCCCCCTCCGTCAAAAATCACAATTTTTGTCAAAAATGTTGATTTTGAGATTTTTATATGGTTGGATAGCCTTCATTGTCTACTTTCGAAAACACTATGATTATATCGGTATTTTGATGCTTTTTCACTGTTTTACCCAGGGTTTACTGATGATGCTGGAATAAGGAAAAAAATGTTTTTTTTAAATATTAGTTATTGTTGCTTTTTGAATCTTTTCTAAGGTTTCTCATAATGAAGAATCTCGCGAAATGTGTGAAATAGAAAGCACTGCAAATCTTCGAACAAGTGGACTCATACCCTATATCTCTTTTCCTACCCGTGTTTATTTAGTTATGAAATTAGTTTTAGTGTTATGTCAAAAGAGGCGCTTTCTAACATAAGTATGCATTCTCTTCTCTTTCTTCGGCTTCATTCCTTCACGTTTATAATCATTCCTTTCTTCTTCTCATCTTTTGTCTACCTAAGGAATTCGTATTGTTAGTCTATGTATGGGTGCGCGTGTGGAATGGATAGAGTTGGTTGTGAATGAATGACATGAATACCTACACCTCGTAGGTTTTTTTCTCTTCTAGATTCAGATTTTTAGGCACTGTACACGTGCGTGCAAGTATTCGTTTGATCCGGCATAGTCGATAACACATAGTAGATTACGATCGATGTATTCCCTCTACCTTTTTTACTAAACAAGAACATTAATTTTCAATTGTAAACTTTGTTAGGCGTTTTTCTCAAAACAATTTTTTTAATTTTTGTTTTCTGTTTGTGCGTCACAGGCTTCTCAGCCATTTTACATACTAGGAAGTTCAGAAAGGTTTTAAATTGAAGAAGAAATTGTACTCCACAACTTAGCAGAGATGGATTTTTTATTCTGACTTAGTTCTTGAGAAAAAATGGTTCTTTTTTCACAGGAGTACCCATATTTTTTCGATTTTTCAAAAAAACTATTACTTGACGCAAACCCCATTTTATTCCATACTTTCGAATGAAAGGTATAGAATCAGTTGGCAGAGTGTCAAGAATAGTCTCATTACAAAGGGCTCATTGAATTACCTTTTGAATGTATAAATCGGGTTGCTTCATTCATGCAAATAGTGTCTTCATTAGATTCACAAAACCACTGTTGATGATCAGTGGATCAATCAGGGTGGTATTCGATCATTATCGATTAAAAAAGGTTCTTATGAATAACACCTTTTTATATATTCTGATAGAGAAAAATATTTCTGCGGCGAATGGATCCATTTTCGATGATTCTTACACAGATATTAATGGTCTTTTCCTGCAGAAACTGATTTTTCAGTCTTCCAAAAATGTTTCATTTTTCATTTGATAGTTCAACATTAACACAAGATATGAGACTGAACAAATTATTTAGTTCACTGTCGATTGCTACTTTCATTATAGAGAAAAAAGCTTGTCAAGGTGTAGCTTTATGTAGATTGTTATCTTGTTTGTCTCAGGTAGCAATACACTACAAAGGCCAAGATATAGTACCAGTGTTATCCCTTATAATCAACTCATTGATTTCAACAATGTACTGCAAATTGTTTTTAGTACACCATGTAGTTCATTAATCGTCGATTCATTTACATCAGTCTATCAATAGAGACTTCTTGGTTATACATATAGTGAAACAAACGGTTTAATCATGTACTATCAGAGAGACAATATATGGTACAAATGGCTCTTCTTCTTACGCGACTAGCAGCAGCATTGGTTGGTTAAACATAGAATGCGGTGGCATTACTTTTACACTAATTGCCATCATAAATAATTCTTTTCAAGGAGCAGTCGATGAAATTAACGTATATCATCGAACATTGACAGTTGATGTAATCGCTTTATTAGCTAATCATTAGGAATTGAAATTTGTATAGCTTTTGTTGTGATTTCATAACTTTATATTTTTCTTGTAACCTTGAATTTATAAACTAAAAGATTTTTCAGTAAATAGGTTTTTGAAAAGCTGCAATGTCAGACAATATTTTGTGCAATATTGAGTATAATTTTAAAACAGAAAGAAGCAAAATGATTCACAGCATGATATAATAGATATGTACACATCTGAAAAGTTGTCCTTCTGAAACTGATTACTAACGAGCGAAAAACAATCCAATGTTTAAAGTTTTAACGAAGAATCCAAAATAATTTCACAAATAAAATTCAGTTAGTAGGAATCATTACTGTCGTAAAACTCTCGTTTCTATGAAATTTTAACATATACTTATTCGACAGATTATGAAAGAAATGTGTCAGTATGAAAAGAAAAGAATTTGTCTCACAATTCATCAACGAAGTTTTCAATTATTTGGCTCCTTTGCAGCAGATCACGTGTAACTATATGAGATAAGCTTATGCATACAGATTAGAAATCAAATAATTTGTTTTTTCTCTTCTTTCTATTGTTACACATAACATCAAACCGATTAATATATTGTATTTAAATCTTAAACTACCATAAAATTCTCTGTATTCTTATGTATTATACATTAGTAAACGATACTCTTGTGTTGATCTTTAGTTTTATTGGAATGTTAGCTGCAAACAACACCAAAAATTCGTTCATTAGCTAAATTATTTGCAACAAATTCATGTGTAACTGGTTTTCCACTTAATCTATTAAATTTTATTGATGCTGTCATTATATATTATGCCGATGCTAATATCATCAATGAAAATCAACGACAACCAGATTCTTTTTGTGTTCTCAGAGGTAGTTTTCGCTCTGCTACTGTTAGCGCTATGTATCATTCATTATGGTAAATAAATTGTTTTTTTTTCAAGGAGATACGTTTAAAGTTACAAAAAAAAACTAAATTTTGTCTCGTTGTTAATATGTAGTATTTCTTTATTTTATAAAAATAGTATTTAAGCATTCTATCGTCTTTGTTGCATAGTCTATACAAAACTTCGTTCATCACGTTCTCATTCATATTATATTTGTCTTATTATAATTCAATGGATTATATCAATAAGTTCTATTGTACCTATTTTCTTTTATTGAATCAAATTGTTTATAATCTTGGTAGACATTTTTGTTAAATAACTCTTAAAAATCTTTTTGCTTTTCCTTTCATGTATTTAATTGATTATTTTCTTCTATTGATATTTATTAGTTACATTTATATAAAAATTTTTATTTATCTTTGTCATCACAGTATAAAGGAATATTTTCGTCGACAACAACCAATTCATATGTTACGTCACATTATTTCTATGCTTATTATTCTTAGTACAACTGGTATTTCATTACGAATGATTCTTTTTCTGACTCATATTAATCATAGATTAATACCATATTATGCACAAAAACTAAGCATGATATTTGTTACATTTTCACATGCAAGTGTCATGACTGATAGCTTCTTTTAATACTTGATGTATGTCATAGTTTTATTCGATCACTTAGAATTCCTTATCAAATGACAACACAGATAGAATATATATTTCCTATTGAAATATATTTACCTATGTTGAATATTAATTTTTGATTGTTCTTTTTAATAAAATGTAAAAAGAAAAAAACTAAGCCAAATACACAACGTTTTTGCTTTATTTCGTTCCTGATGATGAAAATGCTTTCATGTACTACATGTCGAAGTAAATATTGCGCATGTTTGATTAGTTTAAAAGTAAAAACAGTTTTTGCAGATGTTGTATGCTCATGTAACAGCATTATACATGACACTCATTTCTATGTCGACAACAACAATACCAGGATGAATAATGCAATTATATTTTAGAAAGAAACAACGTATACAGAAACGATAATATTGTTCGAATGAAATATGCAGACATAAAACAACAATAGTTACCATTAAATAATTTTGTTAACAAAAGTATGAATAGACCAATTAAAGTTGTAACTATTAGACAACCACAAGCTGTATATCAACAACCGAGAGATACTTACGAACGCAATGACGATGGATATGATTATCAGGATGAAAAATTATCAACGTATCGAAGTGTGGTAGGTTAAAATATTTTATTTTACATATTGTTTATTAAATGCAGACATATATAGAATTCTCAATCTAATATTGAATTAATGCGAACACAAGATTTTCATCGGCAAGCATCAAATGGAAAAAATTTGTATGATTAAATCTTTTTCTAAGAATCTTATTAGTCTATTCTATTGTTCGCATATTAGATCTTCTTCATACACATCTTCGAATGGTTTACTAATTGCTGCTGGTATTCTATTACTTTTAATCATTTTCATTATTGCACCAAGTGTTCTCGGTGTGCTTCTCACACGAAATCCAATAGGTAGAATTAAACTTATTTTCATTCCTTATTCAATTAGATAATTATCACTTTTTAGTGTCAAATAATTCAACAACAACTTCTACTACTACAGTTTATTCAGCTTATTGGAGTTTTGATAATGATGCTAATGATTTATATGGAACATATAATGGTACTCTTGTCAATGGTGCATCATTTTCAAACACTACTTATTTTGGTCATGGTTTTAATTTAGCATTAAATGGTTCAGTGAATCAATCTGTTATTATTACAAATCCATTTTTCAATTTATCTTATACAAGTTTTACTGTTGAAGCATGGATTTATGGTATTGCACTTACAGGTGATAGATCCATATTTTCTCAATGTCAATGTAGGACTTGTCAAAGTCAATGTCTTTATTTAATTATTCGAAATTATAAAATGTATATGGGTTTTATGTTAAATGATCTCGTAGGTTCAACATCATTATCGATAAATACATGGTATCATGTTGCATATGTTTATGATTATTCAAGTCGAACACAATCAATTTATTTACAAGGTGTTCTTGATGGTACAAAAACATCAGCT